AGCACCCACATAGCAACCATCTTTAAGTCCCGTTCCTGGGATCTGTTGCCCTCTTCTGGCCTCCATGGGTACCTGCACACAAAGGGCAAACAGATACATAATACCTAAATTTTGGCTGGACGGTGGTGGCCCACGCCTTTAATCCCAGCACTCCAGAAGGCAGAGGCAGGCGGATCTCTGTGAATTCAAAGCCAGGTTGGTCTACAAGAGCTAGTTCCAGGACAGGCTCCAAAACTACAGAGAAACCCTGTCTCGGAAAAACAAACAAAAAATTAAGTTTTAAGAAAGTGAAGCAAGCTAGAGAGACAGCTCAGCAGTTAAGAGCGCAGGCTGCTCCTGCAGAGGACTTGAGTTCAGTTCCCAGCATTCGCACAATGACTGACAGCTACTGGTAACTCCAGTTCCGGGGATCAGAAGCCTTCTTCTGGCCTCTGCGGGCACCAGACATGCATGTAGTATGCACACACATATGTAGGCAAACATTCATGCACATAAAATAAAATAATTTTTTAAAAATGAAGGGCCGGAGAGATGGCTCAGAGGTTAAGAGTACTGGCTGCTCTTCCAGAACCTGGTTTGGATCCCACACGGCAGCTCAGAACCGTCTGCATCTCCAGATGCAGGAGATCCAATATCCTCTTCGGGCCTCCACGGACACCAGGCCAGGAATGCACGTGGTATACAGACATATATAAAGGCACGTAGAATAAACAAACAAATATAAATAAATAAATAAATAAATAACTTTTGAAAAGAATAGAAAAGGGAAACGGACATGTAGCTGAGAAGAAATGAGGCCCAAGACAGGGCCTGGCAGGTGAATGCAGATGGGGCCTGGCAGGTGAACACCGAGATGCATTTTCTCCGAGTAAAATGGCAAATGCACCAGAGATCCGGGCAGAGGAGGAAAGGGCACTGACTCGGGCAGCTGTTTGGAGGGACTCACAGGCCACAGGTGTAACAACATTTGAAATCCTAGCAGCATCCAAGGAGGAACAGTGGTAGCTTAGACCAGGAGATGACAGGTGACCACACTCCATGTAGCTCCTGGAGAGTTCATAGGATTGTTCTGAACAAGCGTTCAGCCTTGGCGCTCCGAGGCTCTGGTTAGCTAGTTCTTTGCCATAGATGCAATGCTTCACAATTCGTGTTCTGTGGTAGAAATTTAGCTGTGATGCCAGGCCCCAAAGTCTGCTTCATTCCAACTGATTGGTGGGTCGATGCACCCTCCCATAACCTCCACTGACTTTCCCATAACCAGAAAACCCCCTTTCCAGCTTTAGCCAGGCCTATTTTCTGTTGCTGATAGCCAAAACCCCTACAGACACGCACACACATCTTTTAAGTCCAGGAGACTGGTCTTGTCCTGAATCCTTTTCCTGATCTCCCCCTAGAAGCCACATGCTCCTCTCTCCAGCACTTCCAGCTCACCTGCCCTCAGGACCAGCTTGCAGGTGACTTAAGAACAGGGACAGACGGCTGTGCTGAAATCACAGGCCTGCCGGGCCGTTGACTAGGGAGTGTGTGCTTGTTTTCCAGGGCCACTCGTGTCTGGGAGGATTGAGAGATGATGGCTCAGACTTTGCCCAGTGGGTCCTCTTAGAAAGCGAACAGGTTAGGGAAGGAAAGCCTAGCAGGTTCCTAGGGACTATGGAAGGAACTGGTAATTCCCCCAGAATTCAGTGCAATCTGAATCTGAGGAAATGCCTGGATTGGGGCACAGAAAAAGAGGCCCATGGCTGGCCAGCTGAGGGGTACAGAAGGGAAGAAAGGGAAGGGGAGGGAGAGGAGGGGAGGGAAGGGGAAGGCAAGGGGAAGGGAAGGGAAAAAGAGGAGGCAGTCTCTGGCACCCACACCAGCCTATGGCAGAAGAAGGGGCTTCAGCTTTGGTGACAAGGTTTTCTATTTCCAGAGAGTTCTCAGTACAAGCCATAGAGTCTGAGGATGCCTGTAGCCATTAGCACATCACCAGGGCACTAAACCAGCCCTACATCCCCCACCTTCGGCTTGTTGAGTGAATAAGTGGTATGAAATTGGAGCCATTACTAGTTAGCCATTTTAATCTCTGACCAACCAGATACATTTTAGCTGACGTATGTGTAACTTTCCAAAGCCTCACTGCCTTTCTCTGTACAAGCAAGGATGTTCCAGATGGTCGCAGCAACAGAGGCAATCTGTATTGCCAAGTAAGAAATTGTACCCGCCCATTCTCTCTCTCTCTCTCTCTCTCTCTCTCTCTCTCTCTCTCTCTCTCTCTCTCTCTCACACACACACACACACACACACACACACACACACCAGAGTCTTATATATAAACCCAGGCTGGCCTCAAACTCACAATCAGTTCTGTCTCAGATCTCAGATTCCCCCAAGCTGGGATCACAGGTGCATCACCTCCTGGTTGTCTGGCCTCACCTTGCTCTTTGGACATAACAAACCCTATGAACAGCAGGAAGTAAGGCTTGTGCTTGCCAATGCATGCAGCTCCTTCTTTTCCCTCTGTGGATGGAGATCAGCTTATTCCAAGTTTTTACTCATTCCCAATGGGGGTCTCCTCTCCAGAGTACTTCTGAGTGACATTTGTGTGCAAGAGGCATGCACCCCACATTCTGGATAGATTGCTTGTTTATATGTTTTCACTGAATACCATTTTTATTCTGAGAACAAGTCCTAACATGATTTTTTTGCTAGTGTTGTTTTTATGACACTCTACATTTTTTTTTAAAAAAAGATGTATTTTTAGCTTATGTTATGTATTTTGCCTACATGCATGTGTGTGCACCACATGCATGCCTGATGCCTGCAGAGGCCACAAGGTGGCACCGGATCCCCTAGAACAGCAGTTTTAGATCGCTGTGAGCCACCGTGTGAGTGCTGGGAACCAAACAGCTAGTTCCAGGACAGGCTCCAAAGCTACAGAGAAACCCTGTCTCAAAAAAAAAAAACAAAAACAAAAACAAGGGCTCTTAATGACCAAGCCATCTCTTCAGCACCCACTCCCCCACACACATTAAAAAGAAAATTTCATAAACCCCAGAATTACCCTGAGAAAAACAAAGGACAAAGAACCGTTGGGTAGATTGGGCCTGGGGAAGCAGGCAAGATGAATAACTGGACCTTGGAACATTTGTGTCTTAGTATAATGTTGCCTAAGTCACAGACTGGGTTTTGTTGATTCGGGTGTGCCTGCCAAGGGACACTGGGCCTTAGAGAATGACTCAAGGAGCTAACTCCTGGTGCCCACATGTAGGTGTCACCCCCAGCAAGGGCCTAACCCAACTGTTCCCGTTAAAATGGTTATTGCTGAAGGTCTGACAGGTTTTATATTTAGGTAGTAGAGCTGGGATTTGAACCCAGTCAATCAGGGCCCAAGCTGTCCTCTATTCTCCTCTGGACTCCTCCTTGCAACAAGGTAGGGAACATGAGAGTTTTGAGTCTGGAGATCCTGGAAAAGGCATCGGTCCCTAAGCAGAGCCCTATGGGCAGCTGAGGTTCTAACCCCACCCCCCTATGATCCAACAGAGGCCCTGGAAACCATATGGAGTTCTATAGGTACTGGGCATCCCTTACATCCCAGTCCCTGACCAGAGGGAACAGACAGTAACTACATGACCAAGAATGGATAAGCATGGTGAGTGGGGCTAGAAAGGGCACAAACCAAGATAGGACCACTTGATCCATCTTGGACCAACTAGCCCATCACCATGGTGACGTTAGAAAACTCGAACTTTTTCTCGGTTCCTCATTCATGTTGTTTTGCTACAAGCCCTCTGCTTTGTCCTTCCTAAATATTCTTATTCTCTTATCTTCACTTGTTCCTGTTCAGACCTCGTTCCCCCTTATCTTCTCTGGCCGTGATGTAAGTGTAAGCTCGCAGCAGCTCGGCTGCCAGCTTGTATTCAGGGTGGGTCTTCCCACAGCAGTTAAACCAGCCTAGAAACTCCTTCACACAAACTCTCTTAGGTGGTGTTTGATCGTGTCAGTTTAACAGTTAAGATTAGCCAACACAGTGCCCAACACACACACACACACACACACACACACACGCACGCACACACACACACACACACACACACACACACACCTTCTTGCCCATTGTTACCATTCTATTTCATTCCTAACTTGGGGAAAAGATGGACAGTGGTCTATAGAAATTGTTCTTTGAGCCGGGCGGTGGTGGCGCACGCCTTTAATCCCAGCACTCGGGAGGCAGAGGCAGGCGGATCTCTGGGAGTTCGAGGCCAGCCTGGTCTACAAGAGCTAGTTCCGGGACAGGCACCAAAACTACAGAGAAACCCTGTCTCGAAAAACTAAAAAAAAAAAAAGAAAGAAAAAGAAATTGTCCTTTGACCTTTCTAGTGCAACCCCCAAGTGCTGCCCCCTTCTTTGCGATGTAAATCTAGCTGTCTTGGGGCTGTCTACGTGCTGGTGGATAGCTCCCGGAGAACACCTGCTTAGTTTCAGCCCAGGAACTTGCTTCAGGTCCTGACTTACTTGCAGTCTGTCTGTCAGTTGGAGAGGGGGGCATGTGGCTGAAATCCACTTGCAATTGGCCAAGCCTGAGACCAGTTTCTGGTTGAGTTAGTTATGCCTATCCAGCCGGTCTCTCGTGACACTGGGCTCCTACCACCAGGGAAAGTCAAAATCTGGAGGCAGAGGCAGGCAGATATTTGTGAGCTCCAGGCCAGCCTATTTATATAGTGAGTTTCCTTGTCAGACAAAGCTACATAGTGAGACCGTATCTCAATAATAATGTTAATATTAATAAAAGATTATGATAATTGTTTAAACAACCATAAACGACCACCTATTGAAATGACAATTGATGTTTATTAACATTGGGTAACCCTCCTCCTTCCGTGTTGGTAATACGCGTTCGTTGATTGCTTGCACAACTGGCAAGCAGGAAACTGTGTGCTTTAACCCAGACATTATCTAGAGTCAGCCTCACAACCACTCTTGAGGTAGGTGCTACTTTTCCCGCTACAGAGACGGGGAAAATGGAGCATGATGAAAGCGAGGTGACTTGCTTGGAATCCTTAGCAAGGAAGATCAGGAGGGCGGGAACTCGGCAGCAGTCCGGGTATCTGGGACTCCGAAGCCCTTTGGCAGGCAGCATCTGTCCGGTGGCATCTTCCCCACGCATTCTGGATTCAGGCTCCTGCAGCAAGCAGCCAGGACAGCCGGCTGCACTGACTCCCTCCCCGCCTGCAGGCGTGAAGACCCCTCTGTGGAGGAAGGAGGTGGAGGAGCCCGAGGCCAGGGAGGAGGAGCTGGAGGACGAGACGTCGTCGTCTTCTTCGTCGTCGTCGTCGGAGGTGGAGAGGCCGGACCCCGAGAGCACGGCGGAGGTCGAGGAGGATGGCGACTCGGGGGAGCGCGAGGCCCGCTCGGTGTCCTACAGCCCTCTGCGCCAGGAGCCGAGCAGCCAGCAGGTGGCGCTGCTGCGACGCTCGGACAGCAGCTTCTGGGGCTGGCTCAGCCCGTTCGCGCTTCTGGGTGGCCTTGCTGCGCCCGCGGACAGGTGAGATGCAGGCACCCGGGGCCGAGTTTTAGGGAGGAGGGCCGCAGGGCCACTGAGCACTCACGTCCCCGGCCCGTAGGAAGCGTGGTGCCCCGGAAGAACCGTGCGTGTTGGAGACGCGGCGGCGGCCACCGCGCCGCGGGGGCTGTGCGCGCTGCGAGATCCTTTTCTGCAAGAAGTGCAAGAGCCTGCATAGCCACCCAGCTTACATTGAGCACTGTATTCTGGAGCACCCTGACCCGAGTAAGGCGGAGGCCGCCGGGAGCTCTGAGCGCATCCACTCCCAGCCTCCGCGCCCGCAAAGCTCTAAACTCTTCTATCTCTAGTGCGTTTCACAGAACTGTCCTTTCAAGCCGCCGTCCTTGGCGCCTCCTTACGGTGAGAAGGCCCACTGTCGGTTCACGGTCCCACCTGTGAGGGTCTAGTTGAACTACAGCAGGCACTACTCCCCAGACTGTATCCAGCAACTATAGCCCTCCTGACCCACGCCTCCAATACAGCCTCACCGGCATCTTTTTAGGTCCTTCTGGCCAGGCGGACAGAGGCATCGCTTGAAGAAAAATAGCTTCGGGGTTCCCTCAGCCCTCGAAGAAATCGCCTCTTTCCCTCTACCCCCCCCCCCCCCCAATAAAGTCTCTAATCAGAGTCTTCTGAAGTGGAGTGGAGTGAGAAAAATGGGACCCTCCTTTCTCTCTCCTGGGTACAACCCAAAAAAACAGGTCCTAGCAGGGAGGTGCTTCCGTGGTCTACCCAGGACTGGGCAGTACAAAGCACTTGCATCGAAGGGCAGTCAAAGGCCATTTTGTCCACTGCACAGAGAAGAAAGGAGGGCACAGGGCCAGCAGTGCCTCTGGGGAACTGCAGGCTGCTCCCCTGCCAAATCATTCTCCTGTCCCTGAGAGCTGGCTCGCCGCGGTGGTCGTGGTCACCGTGTGTGTGCAGCGGGCCTTGGTAGGTGGGGGAGGCAGGGTGGGATGGAGATCCAGATGCTAAAATGAATACCGAGACTGGCTCCGACGAAAGGGGAAAGCTGGGGAGCTGGTTCCTTCTCCAGGAATCCCAGCTATTCTTGGCTACACAGAATGGGCTTCGGAAGGCTGCTGCGTGTGTGGCCTGGAGAATGGGGCCATTGAGAGCAAACAGGCCTCGCCCAATCTGCGGAGCTGCTTGGAGGCTGCATTCCCAGTGCCTGCAATGGGCAGACCCCGAAGGACTCTCGGCCATTTTCCTGCTGCGCAAGTCCGGTCATCTGGAAGGCAAACTGGGTGAAGATGGCCTGCGTTTCGAAGAGAGACGCACCCCCTCTCTCCATGACAACCGTACACACACAGCGGGCTGTCCCTTAGTTGGATGTGAGACCATAGTCTCTGTGTCTCAAGTACCTATCTGCTTCTACTGAGAAGGGTGGAATGTTCTGCCCGAGGAAGGCTGCTACACCTCTAGGCTGACCAGCTGGGGGTGCTTCTTCATCACCCCAGACAAAAAGTCAGGGCCGGAGGCCCACGTTCCCTTTTGCTCGGCCTCTTGATCCAAAAAAAAGGGGGGGGGGCCTCTGGCAGTGGAGCAGAGCCTTCACTGCACCCCAACCTGCTAGTGGTGGGAGGCAGGGTGAAGTCTCTTGTGGAATAATACGTGATTTCCCAAGAAAGGAGCCTGAAAGGCATAGAAAGGGCGGTTCCTGCAGAGTAGTCCTCTATCCCGGTGGAGTTTTGCATCCTCTTTGGTGGGACTCAGCCCTATGGGTATGGGACTGCACCTTCAACGGAACAGAATCCCCTCACGAGTGAGAGGGAAAGAGGTCCTTGAAGGTAAGGGCTCTGGGAACCCGGTTTTTGTTTCTCCTTCGACCGCGGGAATAATGCAGATTTCCTGCTGGTGGCAGTGTTACTGGGAAGTTCCTGCGAGGTTCAAGGGCTTCCTAGACAGGCCCCGCCCCTCAGGTGGGGGTGGGGCGAGCAACCACGGTTCAACTGTTCATTCAGTACCGGGAGCCTTCAGAAGAGGGCACCTCCTGAGTTGGCATTCCAACAGCCCATCCAGGGCAGCTCTGTGGCCCAGCGGCCAGAGCTGGTTACCCGCAGTTTGGCTTGATCTAGGTGCCAGTAGTGGTCATCTCTGAAGAAGACGACGGAGCCGTCTGGCCTTGGCAGCGCGCCACTGACCTCCTCAGGGACCCCGGCCCAGTCTCTCAGGCTGCGGGGATAGTAGGGCTCCACTTGCATCGCCCCTCGAGCCAGCACGTAGTAGCGGGCGCCCTTGAAGAGGATAAGGCGGCGCAGAGGCGGGAAGAAGAGAGCTGCGTCCGGGTGACGGGGCAGACCTCTAGCCCGGCACAGCTGTGAGTTACCCCCTACAGACTTCGTGCCCTGGAACCTCCAACATCGACTCCCTGTGGGGCATTGAGAGAAACAGAGTGAGCTGGAGGCCCTCACTCATTGGCCTTCCACTCCATCTCTGTCCCCTTGGTTCCTTGTCTTTCTGAGAGCCCCAGATCGTTAGTTACCCTTGGAGTCAAAGTGTGGCTAAGAACTAGGGAGTACACGGTAGAGGGGAACCGGTTATGGCCTAGACTCCCAGCAGGTGCCAGCAGAGAGCGGACGTTGCTGAAAGACCGTCTACCCCAGTCTATCCCAGGCTGGGGAGGGTGAGAGGGGAGTGTTGGGGAAAAGGGTAGGGGTGGGGTGGCTGGAGACCGGATTCCCTGCCTCAGGAGTGAAAGGAAGATCGAATAGATGTGTGCTGTCCACCCTTCAGCCACTGCCTTTTACCCAGTTTCCTCACACCTGAGCATTGCTTTCCCTACCCAAGAAATGCAAGTTCCAAAAGCTAAGCGGCATGCCAGCCTCACACAGCCAGGATGGCAGGGCAGACACCTTCAGGCTTCCTGCTGACCTGTGGACGGGAGGGCAGTCCTCCCCCTACAGTTTCTATACCGCGACCACCGGGACACTTGCTGCTCCCCAGCAGTTCCATCCCTGAAAGGAGTCCTTCCTGGGCCACAGGTTTAACAATGAGTTCTACCAGGGACTCATTGCTGGGGATCGTCCCCTCTCTTCACTTCGTGTAGGACCTCCCACACCACAATCTCAGCTGACTCGGGGCTGATACCTTTGAAGAAGTAGAAGTCTCCATCTTCCAGGGACACTGCAGCAGCCTCAATATTGGGGGGCAGCCCAGGCCACCTTTTCTGTAGCGCACGGGGCTCTGAAACATTGCCGTCCGCTGTGACTTCCCAGACGTGGCTCCCTTTGAAGACGTGCAGCCGCCATTGCCCGTCTGTCCCCAGACAAGAGGTGACTGGAAAGGCCATTGGCCTCCTGCTGACTTTGGGGGAGGGTGCTGCCCTAAACCCGGTTTTCCAGACAAGCCGAAGGTGGGTTGCATAAGGGGGCTGAGGGAAGTAGGAGTTCTAAGCTGGGCCTGAGCTTGACACCCCCCCCCCACCAGGACAGCGGGTGATTCCGGATATCTATACTCCAGATACTTCCATTCCCTAGTCATTCAGCTATGGGAGCCCTAGAGATGCGGAGAAGGGAAAAAAGACCCCAGACACGGTTGGGATCATCTTACCTACAGTGATGGCATCAAAGGAAGAATGGCAGTATTTAGGACCTCTGGTTTCCGGGCGTATCCTCTGGGAACTGTGAGGGTCCCAGGCCTCAAAGTCAGTGAATCGCTTTCCGGGGAGTTGAGTGGCCACTGAGCGACCCAGGGGCTTCCCTTAAGATTCAAGAAGAGAGATAGCAGACATGGGTGGACATACACACTTGGAGGGCTCAGGACCCTTCGTCTGCTCTGCCCATGATCTGAGACCCAAGGAAGGAGAGAGGGGAGAGGTGAGTGCAGCCCTGGTTCTTGGTTTTCACCGAGAGTGCACTAATCCAGGAATCTCCTCTCCCACCCGACAGCCCAGAAAAGAGATAACACGAGACTGGAAGACCAAAGGGTTCTGAGCTAAGGGCAGAGGTTTGCACTCATGCATTGCTTGGAACTGATGGAGAAATGGGGGAAAGCAGAGCCTGCGGGATATTCAGATCTCCAGCGTGCCTGAGGTTTTAGGACAGAGAAGATTGGAGCAAGGAAGTGACGGGGATGGGGGGAATCCTGTTTGAGGAGCCAGAGTCCGAAGACTGGAGACCACAGGGGACAAGCGCAGAGTCAGGAGCAGGCTGGGGGCTCACCATACAGGTTCTGCACTGCTAGCACGTCGTCCCAGCTGAGCAGGGCGTCGCGGCCCAGCTTCTTGTAGTAGGGAGCCATGAGCGCGCGTGGCGCGGGCGAGTGCGCGAGGCCGAGCGTGTGGCCAATCTCGTGCGCGAGCACGACGAACAGGTTGCGCCCGCGGCGGCGGCTCAGGGTCCAGCGCTCATCCCGGTCGAAATGCGCTTCGCCCCGGCGAGGCAGGAAGGCGTGGGCCAGGGCGCCCCCTGCGAGCGGCACGAAAGAGGCACGGTGAACTGGAACCAGGGGCTCCCTCGCGCAGACACCAGGCTCCTACGTGGTGTGTGTGTGTGTGTGTGTGTGATTTTCTAACTTCCCTTTCTAGTCTGATAGGCGCGGGAGTGCCAGCAGGTGAGCAGATGTCTAAGGGATCTTAAGGGAAGATCATGGTAGACTCAGCTAGGGGCCAAACTGCCTGGGCTTCGAAGATGCTAGATTTACCATTTACTAACTGTGTGATCTTGGGCAGACAGCTTAATCTCTCGGAACGAGCGCGTGTCACTTGATTCTTAGAAGAGTGCCTATCCTAGGCACTACTAATATCGGTTACCCCTAGAAGGAGGATGGTAAGGCTTTGTCCTGTTTCCTGACCTGGCCCCTTCGTGGGTTATGTTCAGGAGTCAGCAGACTGAACACAATGTGCTTCTATGTGTATGCACATTTTCTTTAAAAAAAAAAAAGTTTTTCTTTTTGAGTCAGGCAGTGGTGGCCTATGCCTTTAATCCTAGCTCTTGGGAGGCAGAGGCAGG